CCCCAGGAAGATCTGTGTGGGTAAGAATGTCCACCATAGCTGTAGCTGGAAGTAACTTCTAGGAATTTCTTTTAGGACTCACCTTATGTCATACCCTTAAGAAGGAAGGCTACCATAAAGGTTCTATCGTCATACTGTTCACAGATGAGGGAGAAGTCATTTGCCCAAGGCCTTGTGGTCAGAAAAATGGTGGAGCTGGGCCTGGAAGCTAGGTTGACTCAGTGTCATCAGTCCCAACTCTTCTGCTGCCTGCCTCCCTGTGCAAGTGCAGTCGCCTATTCAGGAAGCGTGTGTGTGTGTGATCTGCATGCAGTGCTGTCTGGAAGGACATGACATTTGTCAAACCATTAACCTCAGGGCCATCTCTGGGTGTTGAGATTTCAACAAAGTTTAACCATTTTCTTTGAATTTCTGTTAATATTTTAATCATGAATACCATTTATGAACGCAAAGTACAACTGATCTTTGAACAGCACAGAGTTGAACTGCTGCACTGTACAAGTCCAGTTATACGTGGACTTTTTAAAAATTTATCTTAAAATTATAGTCACATGCAGTATCACATTCATTTCAGGTATGCATAGTAGTAATTAGACATTTACATACCTCACGAAGTGATCACCTTGATAAGCGTAGTACCTGACACCATACATAGTTATTGCAATATTATTGATTACATTCCCTATGCTATACTTTATATCCATGACTATTCTGTAACTGCCAATTTGTACTTCCTAATCCCTTACCTTTTCATCTATCTCCTACCCCTCCCATTTGGCAACCAACAGTTTGTTCTCTGTATCTGCGAGTTTGTGTCTGTTTCACTGTTTGTTCATTTGTACTGTTTCTTAGATTCCACATATAAGTGAAATAATATGGTATTTGTCTTTCTCTGTCCAACTTATTTCACTTAACAAAATATTCTCTAGGTCCATCCATGTTGTCATAAATGGCAAGATTTCACTCTTTTTCATGGCCAAGTAATATTCCATTGTATATATGTACCACATCCCCTTTATCCTTTCATCTATCAATGAACACCTAGGTTGCTTCCATACCTTGGCTATTATAAATAATACTTCAATGAACATAGGGATGCATGTATCTTTGCAAATTAGTATTTTCAATATACAAATATTTTTTAAATCCTTATATAAGTGAACCCACACAGCTCAAGCCCATATTGTTCACAGGTCAACTGCAGAGGGCCAACTTAAGTTATTAGGTGGATTTTTAAACAGCATGGGGAGACAGCATCCCTGACCCACATGTTGTTCAAGTGTCAACTGTATGCCCTGGCCAGGTGGCTCAGTTGGTTGGAGCACTGTCCTGTACACCAGAAAGGTTGCAGGTTCAATCCCAGTTAGGGTGAGTATATGAGGCAACTGATCAATGTTCTTCCCTCCCTCCCTGCCTCCCTCCCTCCCTCCTCCTCTTTCTTTCTCTCCCTTCCCTACCTCCTTCCTACGCTTCCTTTCCCTGCTTTCTAAAAAAATCAATAAATATATCTTCAGGTGAGGATTTTTTAAAAAGAGTCAAATGTACCACACAAAGAAAAATCATTTCTTGGTCATTTGAAATATTCTATATCTTGATCTGCATGTTGGTTGCATGCATATTATTTGTCAAAACTCATTGAAATACACACTTAAGATCTGCGCATTTTACTCTATGTATATTCATACCCCAACTTTAAAAGAAGGGAAAAAATCAATAAAAAGGAAATCCAGATGGCTGAGCAGAGAAGCAGACGAAGTACACGTTGTCTGTAGTACTGGGGAAGCATTAGGGAAGGCCCCCCAGAGGAAGACTTGGTCCTCAGCAAACACACAAAGTGGGCACAGGCACAGGCCTGGGCCCTGACTGGCAGGTGACTTTATACAAGCCCTTTTCCCTAGTGGGGGTATTCCAGCAGTGAACTAAAGGACCTGGGGTACCAGATAACTTAATATGTGAGAGTAAGTGCTAAGGAAAAAAGCAGATGGAGTGGTCAAGGCTGATGGTGGCAGCAGGAGCCAGGGGCTTCCAGAGAAGGCCCTTGAGCAGGCACACAGCTGAAGAGGTGGGTATGCAGCCTCTAGAGCCCCAGGCATCTTCAAGACAAGGGCCTGTTTTTATCCTATGCATGCACCCTCAAGTCAGGCCAAGGGCTGGGTACTGAGTACAATGCAGGCTTGCTTTTATCAGAAAGGAAAAGAAGGCCCCACAAATTCTCCTGAGGGTTCCCGTGAGGTAGGAAACTCAGAGCCCAAAACATCAGTTCCTAAGATGTGCTTGCCTCGTACCTCAGCAGCCCATAGTGCTTAACCACACACAAGCAGGTAAAAATGAAAACAATGTAGTTGAAGGACCTCTAGGGAGAAAGGGTACTGGGAGTAAAAGGCAGGTGTGGGTCACTGGCAGTGCTGCTGCTACTGCAGCCTCCGCGAGAGCCTGAAGGCACTGGTGCCGTTATGAGGTGAAGCCAGAGAAGAAAACCAGGTAAGAAATGGATGGAAGGTGCTGTCCAAGAAAAGAGGAATAAATAGTAAGTGCAGGAGAGGCTATGTCTTAGAGCCTCCAGGTACTGTAGCACCTGCCCTGACCACTGAGGTTGGGGTTGGCCACCTCAGTCTGCATGGGAGCACGGAAACAGGAATGTGCTGCCACCAGCAGTCCCCTCACCATACCTCAGCTTTGAGCTCATGTGCCCACAGCAGCCAGGAGGAGCCTAACACCCCTGTCCATTTCCTCCATGTCATTCACACGCAAAGCCCTTCCAGGTTTGCTCATAAACCATTGTTCCAGCCCCTGGGACTGCCCCAGGGAACCCTTACTCTGCTTCAGGGCATCTTGAAGACCTTTCTTGGCAAACCTACCTCCTTCCACAAGCAACCTTCAAGACTCCATAGGGGTGGCCCATTCCTCTTCTGACACTCCGGTCAGCACACACAGCTCTGTGCTCTGCTGCTCACACATGATGCACTCACATTTGCTAATGGGAGGCTGGCCAGGCTGGCCAGGCTTCCCAACCTCTCAGCTCTCATTCTGTACTCTGGCAGCCAGAGGTAAGCTATGGAATTAGGTTGGGCTCCCACCCCTGAGCCTTAGGAAGGGGCTCCCACACCTTCTATTTCATGGGGCTCCCTCCCTCTCTGCCTAGGATGTAGCTCCATGAAATGGAGGACAAGGAGCCACTGGGAGGAAGACTCTGAAATTGAGAGGCTGTTTAAGTGAAGCCTGGTATTGGTGTCCAGTCCAACTGCCCTAATTCAGAGCTGCCCCCAGGCACACACACTCTACCAGACTCCTTGACCTCCAATGTCAAGTACTGCCAGCAAACAGTTCTCACCCTCTCTAGGTCAATAGCAGAAGCTCTAGGCTGCCCTGTCTCACCCAACTTGCCTGGGAACGGTGTTCACTGAAGCATGAAGTACGTAAACAAAGAGCTGGAGGTTCACAGCTCTCTCACTGTCTTTCTGTCATCAGTTCCAAGAGCCTGGGATAAAGACTCATCCCTGGGGCCAGGTCTGCTAGGTAAGGCGGGGGAACCCCAGGGAAACCAAATGCCTCCCACAGTTCCCTCAGGCAGCAGGCTAGAGGGGCTGCCCAACCCAGGCAAGGCCAAGAAGTCCCATGAATGGCAGACAGAGTGTTCTTACCCTGGCCACTAACTGGCTTCTGACCCCTAAGGATATTATATAGTTTGGCTTTGCCAACACCCTGGGCTGTTAACCCCATACGTAACACAGGTGAACCACGTCTGGCCGAGCGTGAATGAAACAAGAGAAAAAGTAGAAGGTGGGAAGCCAGGAAGTGTTGAGGGTTCCGTGGCCCTACTGGGCAGGCTCCCAAAGGCCCTAAGCACAGGGCCCAAGGCAGTGAGGGAAGTGGTCTGAGTGTCCTCCTCAATGAACATGAGCTGGGAGGTGGCCCACTGAACCCAAGAAAGCAAACCTGTGTGACTGTCAAGAGAAAAAGCTGGAATAGGCAGTTAGGTACTTGATAGGTGGTTCTATCCATTGCTCATCCTGCTGAGATCCAGGTGACCACATGGAGGATCACCACCATGAAGAGGATGCCAGGAGATGCGAAAGGAAGAACAGAGTGAAGGAAGGGCAACTCACGTCAAACTTTCCAGGGTTCTGCTGTAGCTTCACCTTGCCCCCTGACAGGTACTGCCAAGCACGGCCCCGCAGAGAAGGTGGGATACCCTTCTGGCACCGCAGACGGATCTGAAAGTCAAAAGGAGGGCTGTACTAATGTATCCACCCAGGCAGCTCCCAGCCAGCCCAACCCCTCTGCTGGTGCATGGCAGGCCTTCAGTGAACACATTAGCAAGAGCAGAAAAGGGCAGAAAAAGAGGACTTTCCTACTATTCCTACAATGCAGATCCTACGATTGGGGGGGGCGGGGTCTGAGTGCAATTAAATGTGCTGCCAGCAGGTGATGGCAGAGTCCTTACATCCCCTGGTCCAGTGACAATGCAGGTATTACTGAGGTCTGCCACAGATTTCTGAATCCTCATTAACATTTTCTGAATCAAAATGAACAATACAAGCTGGAGGAGCCCCAGAGGATGTCACCAGGAAGGGATCTGCATGGTATGAGACACGGGGTGGGGCACAACTATAGCCACAGGGAGGGGAGCTCATGAAATGAGTGAGAAGGTGGCTGGGCCACTTTCATGGGAGTGTTTAAGAGGCCATATAGCAGGGCATGGCCAGCTAGAGAAGAGAGGTCTCAGCACAACTCCAAAGGAAGATGAGGGCTGATCAAAATGGCTTCCTCTTTGTTTTGATCAAGAATCCCCCCTCTTGTCTGCTCTCCCTAACCCTGAGTTCCCATGATCACCAGCGTGGGGCAGAGCCAGCTGGCCGGGGTGCTAAAATGGCACAGTTCTTCCCCCATCACTCACAGACTGGGGAGAGGTGAGGGAGAAAGTCCTTGGGGTAGCTCATGACACAGAGCCAGTGCTCTATTCATATCTGACTATTTTTATCAGAAAAAAAAAGACTTCCATCGCTTTTCCTGCCTTTTGGCTAAGATAAAGCATAGTTATCTGTTCTCATCAGTTTAACATCTGATACATCCTCTGTCTGAGGACCATATGTTAAGTGGATTTTTGGAGCCGGGAGATAGGATAGGAACTTGCTCCATCCACTCATCAACCTGGTATTGCAGTACCTCTAGGAACAGTGCACCTTTTTGGGGACAAAAAGAAAAAGGAAAAAAGGCTTCCACTGCCAAAACCCAGTCTGAAAAATGATCATGTCTTTTACAAATGGGGGAAATGAGGCAAAGAGTGGGAAAAATATTAAGGTCACATCATCAGAGGTGACCGCACAGTAGAGGACCACACAATCTCCTAGCTACACTATACAGGCTAGAGGGATCCAGTCCCATGCACTTTCTACTGGCCTCTCAGAGCCAGGCACTGAGGCAAGCTCCCCCTGGGCTTGGGACTGAATGAGGCTCTGCGGCAGCTGCCCTGATTGTCCTCCTTGACCTCAAGGCAAAGGGTGAGAATGGGGTGTGACTGACATTTCCCTCAACCCCTGTACTAAGCAGCCTGGCCTAGGATAAAAAGATGGGAGCTCAGGGCAGTAGGAGCAGCACCTGGATGTGGGTTTCCATCCAGCACTGAGCCAATCATTTCTCATTAATAGTAAGATCAGAATGACAATACCTAAGATTCTATTAGAATGGGGGAAAAAAACATGGCTAGCAGTCTGTCTTCAATAAATGATGGCTTCCTCTCCACCCCTCCATCCCAGGAGGATGCCTGATAGAGAAGACCCAGGGTCTTGGGTTCATACTTAACTTCCCCTCACCTGGAAAGCCCCTCAAACAGTCCCATTGCAAACTCTCAGAGGAGAGAACACAGAAAGCCCTACTTCCTGATGACCAGCACAAACAAGAGAAAACTTTCCAAGGGTCAGAAAGAGTCAAGAACCAGGAAGGAGACGAGCAGAGGCAGAGGGCAGTGGGGAAAGAGCGGAGTGACTGGTCACAGGAGACAAACTTAAGCTTCTAGGACTGTCTGCAAAGTGGGGAGAGTAGGGAGAGGAAGGGAACTGCCCCAGACTCTGGGAATGGTTTCCTGCTGCTGTGGGACAAGGGTCTCCTTAAGGAAGTCACTTGGTCTGGGCACGTTTTGGCAAAGGGACGCAGCATGGCCCAGTGTCACAGGTCCTTTAGGCTCCCCCCAGGGTCAAGCTCAGCAGAACCAGCCCCTGCATCGTAAGAGCCCTGTCATACTTGGCCTGCCCCAGGGGAGCCAAGGAATACCTTCAGTCCACTAAGGTTCTCAAAGAGGCCATGACCTCACTCAGGGTCAGGGCTGGGGAGTGAAATCCAGGAGTTCAGCTAGCCTTTCACGCTCTGGCCTCTGGAATCCTCCTTGGCACAGAGATAATCTCCACTTGCCTACCTTAGCGAGAAGTCAATGGTAGGGATTAGTGAGGAAAGCATAAGGGATTATCATTCTCTGAGGCAATGCCTTGGGAAAGGAGGTCTCTGTGACTGTTGAATGAGGCCACACCCTGCCGGCTGAATTCACTCTGCTCGAGCAGAGTCTTATGGGGGAAAATAGCATTTCAGCCACAAGGCTGGGCCCCTCTCCTGGGGACTTGGGATAAGTCTGGGAGAAGTGTTGGGTCTGGACACACTTCCTGAAACAGGTATTGTCCTTCCTGAGCCATGCAGGGAGAGCCCAATTCTGCACAGCCAGGCAGGAAAAGCTCCAGGGTCAGTGTGACCAGTGCTGAGGTGGCTAGTGTAGAGCAGAGGGCTATGGCCTCTGGGTAGGTTAAGGTGAAGCCTCTTGTGGTGGCCCTCAGTCTCTAACCACAGTGCCAGAGAAGCAAAGGGGAAGAGGAAGTGGTGCTGGTTACTCTGCTGAGAGGAGCTCCCCAAGGCACCCCTTTGGAATCCCCATTTGCAAGGGAGGCTGTAGCAAGAAAGTCAGAGCCAGTAGACACCACAATAGACAGTGGAGAGGGAGCTGAAGTTCAGGGTAAGAGCTAAGGGGTGAGGAGGCAGGAAAATATACCCCAGAGTCTGACTGAAGACAGTTGAGGAACAGCTGCCTCTAAAAATTTTTTTAAGAGAAGAGAAAGAGAAAAAAGACTTTCTAATAAGCAAAAAATGAGTGCCCTAAAGCCCACAAAGAATAGCAAGAAAGAGCCCAGGCCTAGCTGCTCCTCTCTTCCCACGAGCACAGGGCTTTATAGTCACCACTTCACAGGAGCCTTAAAGCCAGACTCTCATTCCTACTTGATGAGGGGAAACTGAGGCTAAGGGTGAAGTAACTCACCCAAAGTTACACAGCTAGCCACAGGCATGGAGAGAGGAAGGCAGTGGGGCTGTGTCTATTCCTATACCTGACCTTTGATCCTAAGCTTTCTGCTAAGCCCTGCAGCTAGCTGTGCCAGCCTGAATCACACCAGTGTGTCAGCTGATGACAGCGAGCCAGCAGGTTTGCTCTCTGCGCTGGGAACTTGTGCAGAGAGACCCCAGCTATGAGGCTCTGGGAAGGCCTCTGCTGGGCTGGGGAGTAACTAAACCCTGCCGAGGTGGCCAAGGGCATCAACGTACACATGAGTGGTGGGCAAGGACATTCCTGCTGGGCAACAGAGTTGGTACATAAAAACGGCCACTAGGAAAGGCCCACTCATGTTTTCATTTTTATAAGACTATTAAACTGTGAGATTATTTTTCTTTCTTTTTGCCTTGGCCAGGAGGCAAGAGGAAACTGATCAAATTAATCTAGAGGGTGAAGAAGCCTCCCTTACTATGGCAGTGAAGAGTACAGGCACTAAAATTATTAGAAACCTGGGTTCAAATTTTGATTCTGCAGGTCACCTGTAAACTGGGGATACTACTACTACCACCAATCTGACTGGGTTGTTATAAAGATTATCCAAGTCAAGTGCCCAGAACATGGCAAATGTTTGACACATGTTAGATATTATTAGTATTATAGAGTCCTGCCTGGTAGGTAAGCAGCAGTAAAGATTTCCTCAGGAAAGGATGAAGGAAAGCTGCCTATAAGGGCTTTTGGCTGAGAGCGGCTTTGAAGTTTGACTCCAGGACAAAGTTTGCATGAGCCTGACATCATGTGGGAGACCTAAGTGAAGGCTGGGCCCTGCCCTCCAAATAGCTTCTGTTCCCATTTCAGCACTGGTAGATGGGGCACACCTACGGCAACTGGCAGTTGGAACAGCCCCTACTCCTCTAAGCTGATACAGTTTCTCCCTCTTCTTCTTCCTCCCCAGGCTACCAACTCCCAGCCCAAAGCCCAAAGCTAGGCCCCTCACCTTTTTGTGCTTCTTGGCCATCCACTTGTCCCAGTTGTTCAGCATGTCCAGCCATTTGGACTCCCTCTGCCTCAGCACCTCCAGGGGGACTTCCTCCAGCCTATGGAGCAGAGGGCAGGGCAATCAGAAGTGCCAAGAGAAGCAAAGACCTGGGCTTAGGCCCTTGCCACCAGTCTAGTCAGTCGTCCTTCTTCCCCCTGCCCGCCATCCCTGCCGTTCGCTTTGGGGCTGCTAACTCATGAACACCCTAACACAAGTGAGAGGAAACTCTGCCCGCTCCCTGAAAGGCACAGGCCAGAGAGACAGCAGGTTCAAGTGCCCTCTCCCCCGATGTGTCAAGAGGCCAAGGGTCACAGTGTCTCTCTGAGGCAGAGGCCTGAGTGCCTGTTATCTGTGCATCAAAGCAAAGCATGCCTATATGGAGTCTGTCTTGATAAATAAGCCTCTTCAGAGGGCCTACATGCAAGGTGCAGAGTTGGATGAAAAAACTAGTCAAGCAAGTACAGAAATAACATAATCACCTCTTCACTCCAGCAAAACTAGTTACTCATAGTTTCCCCAATTACACCCTGGCCCTTTCCCACCTTTTAAACTTTGCTCATGCCAATCCCTTTGCTGGAACATTCTCCAAGTTGTCTCTACCAAAGTCCTATACACACATCAAATCCCCATCAAATACTACCTGTATCTGTACATCGATTAACTGAGCAGCTATCACAACTGTGTCGGCATTGTTCTAGGGCCAGGGCTGTGGGGAAGCACTCCTGTGCCCAGAACAAAGTCCTGGACCTCACGGTGTTAACATTTTACTGGCACTGAATGCTCACTAGAGCTGGTGAGGAAAAAACCTCAGCAGTGAGACCCACCCCAAGCAGGCAGACAGGCACCAAAGCAGCTGAGGCAAGCTGGGACGGGAATCCCTGGCTTTGCCAGAGTATGCTTCAAGTGAATGGGTTTCCTCTAAGGAGTGAGTCACCAGGAATTCAGGAGTTCACTTAACTCTCAGGGGCAATGAGAAGGAGAAGACTAGCATTTGTAGTCTGTGTATTTACATATGCTTTACTATTTAGCCTGTAGAGCAATACTGGTAAAACAACAACAAAATGTATATGTGTACCTCTCTATACACATACTCTCCCTTTTTTAAAGTTATTTCTAAAGTGGTAGATTATGTATCTTTTAAATTTTGTGTGTGTGTGTGCTTCTTATTTCCCCCCATTTAAAAAAGCACTTGACGGCACTGAGAGGTGCGATATCTAGAGAGGGTATCTTGCTCAGAGTGAAACAGCAAATCAGTGGAAAAACCCAGATTCAAATCCAAGTCAGATCCTAGCCAAGAGCCTGAACTCAGTCCTGCCCGGCCTCCCAGAAAGGATAGCAGGGTCAAAGGCATTGAGGCGGCTGGGAGGAGGCTCTCAGGAACAGGACATGGTGAGGCCAGGGCTTGGCCCAGTCCTCAATTCTGATTTTCTCTCTGCCGGAAGGAAATGCACTGCTGTGACTTTTACTGGTTGGAAGAGCAGAGGGTGGGGCCGTGGCAGAGTAGAGGCCTCTGAGACACAACAGAGCAGGTCCTCTTCTTCACTGCAATTTATATGGGGAACTGCACAAGCCTGAGAAGAGCCTTAGAGCTAAATAGCTGGGGAGGAACGACAGTCTGAGACAAACCTGGTCAGCCTAGACACACTGACACTGGTCATCCCATTCTTGAACTTCTGACCCTTTCACCTCCTAGAAGCAAAACCAAGGAAGGCAAAGATACACTACCTTTCCCTTCTTCAGAGGAGAAAAGCAGAGGCCACACCTTTAGATCAGGTCTGGCATCTGCCCAACAACCAGCAACTAGAAACCACACAACCATGCATCACAGGCCATCCTGCCTTCCACT